CATGTGTGTGTGTGTGTCTATATATATATATATATATATATATAACAATATCTCATACACTTTTTCCTTGTAGCCTTTGCTGTACATTTTTCTCATTTGTAATAAAATTTAAGCAAACCTCACATCCCATCTCCACTGTCGATGATTCTCGAGCAACAATTTATTCGTGATTCCAACTTCGGCGGATATTTTCGAGAACCAATTTGTTGATTCCAACTTCAGATTGATCTGTTGTGAAAAGATTGATGGTCGGTTGTGGGGGTCCCTTTAGATGTAGATTTGGATGTCACTGATGGTGGCATTGGTCTTGTGAAAAGGTTTTCATAGACGACTTATGTCTATTCTTCTTATATAATTGATGGGAAATGGATAAAAAATGGAGGGTAGACTCCTGCAATGAGTTTCAGCCTTGATGTACTTTGAAATTATTGGTTTGTTTGAGGTGTGGAACAAGTATGGTCTATGATAGTAATGTTGGCAATGGTTTGTTATTTGTTGTGGTGGCTGTAAAGGCAGAGGCTTTCTCTATAGTGGTAAAATTTAAGTGTAAATTACATATTCTAATAGATTAAAAACCATCATTTCATAAATAAGATGCAATGTTTAATATTTCACAAATCAGAATTGTTTTAATTAATTTATATATTTAAAAATTAATTAAACAATTTGAAACCCTAATTAATATAAATCTCAATTCCCTCAACTCTCTCTCCCTCTCTCAATTCCCTCGACCAAGCTTCTTTCCTCTCCCATCATTTTCTCCACCACCATCTCCACTGCCGTCGAGTTGCGGCTGCAGCAACTCCTCTTGTGTGAGTGCCGCTGCCACGACGGCGAGTCGCAGCGAAGCGATTTGAAGCGACATCACACGCGATGGTGTTTGTGTTGTCGCGATTTGTTGTGGTGGTTTCTGTGGTGGTGGAGTGGGTGATTGGGTGAGTAACAACATTGCGATGTGTTTGTACGGTGGTGATGTTGGGTGTGGTGGTGATGATGATTGTGTTGTGGTTGATCTGACGGTTTGGGTGGTTTGTGTAGTGGCGGCGGCGTGCTGGATTAGGTGCGGTGGCGCCTTCTCCCTTCATCTCTCCTCCTTTCCCTCTCTCCCAGTACCGCCACTACAGCACCTCGATTGGATGTGCGGTGGTGGGGGTGGTCACTACAGTGGTGGCTGTGGTGGTTTATGTGGTGGCATTTTGTGGTGGTGGAGTGGGCGATTGGGTGAGTAACAGCGTTGGTATGTGTTTGTGCGGTGTCGGCGTGCTAGATTAGGTGTGGTGGCGCCTTCTCCCTTCGTCTCTCCTTTTTTCCCTCTCCCCCAATACCGTCACTACAGCACCTTGATTGGATGTGCTGTGGTGCGGGTGGTCACTGCAGTGGTGGCTGTGGTGGTTTCTGTGGTGGCATTTTTTGGTGGTGGAGTGGGCGATTGGGTGAGCAACAGCGTTAGTATGTGTTTGGGCGGGTGGTGACTTTGGGTGTGGTGGTTTGGTGGTGGTCACGTATTATTTGATTGATCGTGACCATTAAATTGGTTAACTTGTGATCAATAAACAATATGTGACCACTAAAAATGATAAATTATGATCGAGAATAGTGTTTGACCTAAAAAAATAAAAATATGTTACTTATAATATTTGTGATTTGTGACTTATGTGACCAACAAACAAATCGTGACCTACAAAATTTTTGAATTGTGACCTTAAAAAATCTTCATTTGCGATCGAAAAATAATTTGTGACTTATATAATTTTTGATTTGTGACCAATAAATTGATAAGTGTGACTAAAAATTAATTCGTGACTATAAATAATAAATAATACGTGACCTAAAAATTGTATTTGTGACTTATAATTTATTGAGTTGTGACCGAAAAATTAATCTGTGACCTATAAAATTTTGATTTGTGATCGAAAAATAATATGTGACCTATTTTGTGTTTGTGACTTATAATTTATTGAGTTGTGACCGAAAAATTAATCTGTGACCTATAAAATTTTTGATTTGTGATCGAAAAATAATATGTGACCTATAAAATTTTTAATTTGTGACCCAAAAATAAGTCGTGACCAATAATATGATAAGTCGTGACTAAAAATTAATCCATGACTAATTATTTTTTGAATTGTGATCGTAAAAAAATTCGTGACGTAAAATTTTTGATTTGTGATCAAAAAATAATAAGTAACTAATTATATTATTAATTTGTGATCAAATTGTTTAGATCCGTAACCTAAATATATTTAATTAATAAAATAATTAATTAACTAATTAAATTATAAATAATTTTTAATAAAAATATGATTTTAGAAATTTGAAACTTGTTTTCTTGTTTTTGAAATGTGCCATAATTAATTTCTTAGTTATGAAATTTTCCCAAAATTTAATCCACTAACCCGAGCGGCCCAAGTTATAAAATAAGGCCCACAGACAATTCAACAAAGCCATTTTTGACCCAACTCATTATACCAATCAATTCGAATGCACGGACTAAGACCCACGTGCCAATTTAAAACCTCCAATAATTTATCTTCAAGATAAATTACGCTATGATTTGACCAAATCAAATTGATGTTATTTGTAAACAACTTGTATATCTCAACCAAATAAATATGATCAGATTTAGTTCCAACAAACCATAAAATCTCGGAGAATCCTTTTCAATCCCACCTAGACTGTTATCTCACCCCTATAATTCCATAGTCAGTCAAGTATTCAGGTATCTCAATCTACTTTAATTTGTTTTCTTTTACTTTTCATCTAGCATTCGTATAATTTTCGACATGCTTTATTGACTTGATTGTCGGAGGGTATTCGACTAGCACCATACCGGTGTCCTCTTAAGATCTTTTGCTGTCCTTTTTCTTCCCTCCGCTTTTTCTTGAGTTTCGCAAGATTACTGTTGGCCTGATTGACTCGATTTTCTCAATTGTAGATACAATTTGGCTCCCATCGTGGGGCCTTAATAATCATTCTTACGAACGGAGCTCTTACCATTATTATTCACCAATCATCATCACCGTGTCGAGAACTTCAAGAAAAAGTGAAATCATTGGTATTTGATTCGACTTTGGTCCATCCGCCACGTTTCCAAATTCCATTTAGGCCGACGCCTTCACTTTACCAAAATGGACTTAGGACCATTGGTTCAAACGTCCAATTTGCTACACCGTTGAACGGAGGGTCAGAAGATGTACCACCACAACTTACAAATGGACAAGATCTAGACTTCACACTAGCTCGAGCAGCCTAAGTCATAAAATAAGGCCCATAGACGGTTCCACCGTGCCATTTTTGGCCTAACTCAGTATGCCAATCAATCCGAATGGACGGTCCAAGATCCACATGACAACTTGAAACCTCCAATAATATATCTTCAAAATAAATTACACTATGATTTGGCCAAATCAAGTTAGACTTATTTGTAAACAACTTGTATATCTCAATCAAATAAATCTGATCAGATTTAGCTCTGACCAATCGCAAATTCTCGAAAAGTCCTTACAATCCCGCCTGGATGATTATCTCATCCCTATAAATTCCGTGGTCAATCAAGCATTCAGGTATCTCAGTCTACTCTACTCTAAGTTATTTTTTTAGTTCTCATCTAGTATTAATTTTTAGCAAGCTTTATTAACTTGAGCATCGAAGGGTCTTCAGTCGGTGTCACACCAGTGTCCTCTTAATACCTTTTACGGTCCTTTTCTTCGCTCCACTTTTCTTGAGTTCCCTAAGATTGCTAGTGGCTTGATCAACCCGATTTTCTCAATTGTTGAATATATTGTCTACAGTGTCATGGTCGGTTTATTGAAGGTGTGGTGATTGTTGTTTGTGGATTTGAGGTAAAAGTATTATTTATGGTAGTGGATTTTGAGTTAAAGGTGATAGTGGTAGTGCGTTGGAGGTGATAGTGCTAGTCACTGGTGCTAGATTGCGATATTGGTCTCTGTTGTGTACAAATTTGTTTGTGGCTACTCTTTGTGACAAATTATTTGTTTATTGTGATTGGTTGTAATCAATTATGTGTTAATTGTAATCAATTGTGACTTAATCACATACTATCATGGTTAAGATTGATTTGATCACAATTAGTCACACTGAAAATAAATCTGGCCATAGTTAGTCACTAATAACACATGTGATTTGGTTACATACAATCACAAATTAGATGATCACAGATAGTCGCTAAAGACGAATTTGATCAAGTTAGTCACATGTAATATATGTCTAGTCACAAACAATATATCTGATCAGAGAAAACATAGTCATAAATCTAATCACCTACTATGCACCACTACTGCCACCATACATTACCAAAAACATTGTTACCACCCCACCACCACACAAATAAACTCCAATACAATTTTATCACCTTTAACGAACCACCACCACGCAAATCTACTTATCTAAACACAGTTGCCACATCATCACCACCACCACAATCACTACATGCAAAGCTATTTTATATTTGTAAATGTATATAGAGAAATAAAGCTTTGTAGGGAGAGAATGCTTTGAATTTCTATAGATTTCTAGAAAGGGATGGGGCCGGGTTTAATCTCTAGAAAATGTTTTAAAATTTTGGAGTTTTTCTACATGTGGGATACTTTCATGGGTTGGGATGTAATCTACATAAAAGATTTTTAATTTCTGAAAATTTTTCTATAGGTGGGACAGGTTGAGTAGGTTGACATGGGGTTCGTGGGGATAGAGGGTGGGAACGTAATGTATGTCAATTGTATATATGTCTAAACTATATTAGAGAGAGAGAGAGAGAGATAATGAATATATATATTAATTGTATATTATATATATTACAAATTGATATTAACACCTAAGTTTTGAAATAATTTGACAAAATTATTAATTTTGAAATATGATTGTTATAGTGTAGTAGCTTTTACCACATATAACGACCCTAATTTGGTCCCAGATGAGCCCAATTAACAGCCCACTTCCTGTCTCGTCCAGTTAGATAAACTGGAGGGAAAATTCAACTGAAAACATCGTGCCATTTTTCCTATCTGCAGTCTCCATATTTCTTCATTCTTTTACAGAAATTCTCTATTCCTTAAAATACTTAACTGTAAATTTCTTTGATTTTTTCTCATTTAAACCACTTCAATTATCATTAGGCGATATATATATTTTTTCCGGTAATCTATTATGGGATTACTATAATGAAAAGTTCTTCAGATTCTTCTTTTTCTTTTCAGAAGAAGAAACGCCAAGAACTGAATCTCTCTCTGGTTGCTCACAAGAAACCCAGAAAAAATATTGTTACAAAAGCATTTTTGCGAATAAAATTTCTTGGTCTCCCTTTAATTTCAAAATCCACCGGTAAATGCTGCGAATGTATTGTTCTTGAACCCTATAAAACCTATGCCGTTGGTCGCAGTGAGAAATTATGTGAATTCACTTTTCTTGACCGTAGAGTGAGTAGAAAACATTGCCAAATTTTATTTGATTCGTTGAATAAAAAGATCTATTTATCAGATGGAGTATTTTTTAGTTGTAGTGAAGCTAACGATTCATTTTCTATAGCTAGGGTTAGGGTTTCGTTGAATGGGGTTTTTGTAAATGGAGTTAAAATTAGTGGAGTTGTTGAATTGCACGTGGGAGACGAGGTTTGGCTTGTTTGTGGGAATGGAGAAGCCTGTGGCATGGGGGACAGAATTGGTTTTTTCGTGGAAAGAATTGTTTGCCTGGAGGAGGTTGATCATAGGAGTTTCATAAAATTGAATTCAGGCAGTGTATATGGGGATTATGAAAGTTTGAGATTGGAACACAGTGGAATAGTTGACAAAATGAATGTGCTTTCAAGTATGTGTAGAGATATACTATGTAGCGATGACCCCATATCCCATATTCAAAAATGTCTTATTCTCGATTGCAGAAAGAGGGATGAATGTGCTTCTAAAATGGGCGTTGATAAGAATTCTGTATTGCTGTCTGATAATGATTTTCAATTTCGTAAAAATGGTAGACTTGAAATTGAATGTGTTAACAGGAAAAGGGTGTACTCAAATGAGGGTGAAGCTGTGGAAAAATGTGATGGCAAACCTCAGGAAGAGATTATACTGATCTCGAAGGATTACACTACGCTGACATGTTTTGATGTTGATGGTGCATCCAATGTTGAGGTTATACAGGATCTGGATAATCGTGGTATTCATTTTCAAAACAGTGTTATCGCTATTGAAACTTCTGATAGTTCGTCTTTGGAATTTGTGGACAAGGATGATTTTAATCATTGCAGTAAAGTATTGGAGGAAATGAATTGTGATGATTGTATTCTGCCACCAGGAAAGAAGTTCTATTTGAATCGGCTTCAGTTCAGGAGTCAAGATCTCCCAGAGAGTATCAATACTGTTTCATTACCGGAGCTCTTTCATCCTGTTGACAGTCTCATAAGGGTATTTATTGCGACATTTACTAGTGATATATTATGGTAAGTCCAGAAGTATGTGCACATTATGCTGATATATTCGATGTCCTGTTGTTTATGTGACTGATCAACATATCTGTGATTGATCTTTAATAATCACTAGAAGAAAGCATTTCTTTCAACGGTTTTGCTTTGACTAAATATCATTTAACATGTGTATTATTGGTGACCTATACGTGATGATTTCATATTGAAGAGCATTGTCTGTGCAGGTTTCTATCCTACTGCAAGATTCCTTGCCATCTACCGGTAACAATTGCTTGTCACAGTGCTGAAGGGTGTTGGAGTTCAGACCCTGGAAAAAGAATATCAATCCCTTTCTCAGATTTTCCAAACTTAACTATAGTGTAATTCATTTAACTTGCTATTCATCAGAAAGATATGGAAGTCATTAGGAAAATACTTTGGAATTACTGACGTGCGAGAATAACTAACAGTTCTTAACGTTGATGATTCATTGTAATAGGCATCCTCCGTTTCCTGAAGAAATAGCTTTTGGTAAAGACCGCAAGAACTCAGGTATTGCTTGCCATCATCCCAAATTAATTGTGTTGCAAAGAGAAGATAGACTTCGAGTTGCCATCACTTCTGCAAATTTGGTGGCAAAACAGGTGCTATTTTCTTCTTCAATTTGAATTATGAAGTTTTATACGATTACCGGAGAAGGATATGACCTTTTTCATGTTTGGCTGGCAATTGAATTTCAAAATACTAATTCAGAAATGATTATGAGTATACTTTTTGTAGCACTTGCAATCTTTTTTGTTAACATACTGAAAGTATAAAAGGATAACAAATGAAATAGAAATAGTTTAAGGCCGTCTTACCTTGGCTTAGGCCAAACTTCTACCAACTATTTGTTTTGGGAGCGTCATTCTAAGGGGGGAAGGCTGGCTTGCTACAGATAGGGTGTGTTTGATTACATTAATTTTCCATGGAAAACATCAGTTTTCCACCCAAATTTCTATTTAGAGTGTTTGATTGCTATTTTTTTCCATGGAAAACATTTTCCAACTTTTGAAAATATGCCTAATTTTCCTTGTTTTTAAGGAAAATATTTTCCTTGGGTAGAGGTGGTTTTTATTTTCCACAAAAGATGGAAAACAATTTCTTTTCTAGGTGATATTTTCCATGCTAATCAAACACACCCATAGAATAATTTCTTACTTTTTACTGTTTTATGTGCTTTAAACTAAAGAAAACTTGTTTGATCTTTGAACTTTTGCAGTGGCATTGTGTAACAAATACGGTGTGGTGGCAGGATTTTCCGCGACTGAGTACTGCTAATTATTTATCTCTTTTCACTCAATTCTCAAATGAGGAAATCAATACAGATTCAAAATCTGATTTTGCTGCTCAGTTGGCTGGATTTATGGCGGCTCTACTAGCTGATGTACCTAGTCAAGCCCATTGGATCATGGAGCTACCCAAGTATGACTTTGAACAGGCTGTTGGATATTTGATTGCTTCTGTACCAGGAATTTATTCACGGAGAAGTCCTTGCATATCAGAATCAAAACATTTCTTGGTGGTTAGTATCTTTATTTGCCTCTCTATTGACGTGAGTTCATGCAGTTACTTGTGAGTGTTGTGCTACAATTGGTAATAACGGATTTGAGTTCAGTGTCGATCCCACGATGACTTATTACCTAATATTGGATTTAATTAATTATAGCCTAATTTGAAACAGTAGGTTGAAAAAGAATGTTTCGTTTATCTTTTTGAACTAAAACTAATAATCATGAAGAAAACAATTGGTTGGTTGAATTCAATAGAATTGAGATGTTAGGACTTCACAGTTTCACCTTAATTTTTATGCTTAATTTCCGTTTTCAAACTTTGATAGTATACAATCATGCACTATTTTATTCGACATATATCTCTATTAAAATAAAAATCACTTATATATATCGCTCTCTCTCCCTCTTATCCAAATCTAAGCTTTTCGTTTCTTCAAGCTAAACTCATAAATATCCTTTCTGTCTCATTGTGGTTCACAATTCCTTCGAACGGTGATAAATTGTTCAAAAGCATTAAACTCAATAAATGAAAACAAAATCCTTAAAAATATACTTCAATGCCAAAATTCGAAAATTGAAATTAAATCATAAAAAGTCAGGCTATATCCTTCATCCTAACTATGAAAATTAGCCAGTCATATTCATCGAGCGCAAACACATAAAGATGAAAAAAATCACATGGATTAAGAATAAATGATGAAAGTGGCATTAGGATTGAATCCTTGAATATCATTTCGAATCTTCATGCTTTCCTTCTGTTTTGTTCTTCAAAACCTAGGCAAGAGGATTTGTATCTTGTTCTCTATATCTTTTCCAACCATTTTCCATGTTCAAGACATGTATTATATATAGGATAAGATTTTAAGGTCTTGACAAACACGCTAAACTTCCAAATTTGCCCCCGAAACGAGCGCAACAGCTAACTTCTCGTAATCTCTCTTGAGTCTTGCTCCAGTGAGATTCTGTTTCTGAAAACACCTTGCTGCCTGTTTGATTTCACGCGAGTGAGATTCTCATTGCTCTGATGCAGCTGCTAGTAAATCAATTCTAATTTTCTGTAGGAATATCCAATTTGCAGTTCGTAAAGCGTGCTTGACTTCCATTTTTAAGCATTCAAATGGTATATAATTTGCCTAATAAACGTCCTTGCGTCATATATTGGGATTCTAGTTTTTCCACTTGTTTCGCGCATTAGTGTGCTTCTTTGTACTTCGTTGTTCCTTTTTCCCTCTTTTGCTCTTTTTCCTTTTCAACTCTACGCATTCAAATCTTACTTTTGCATCTCTTTTTTCAATCCTTTGCAACACATTTGTCCATGTTAGGTTGAACTTAAAACAATCAAAACAATGCTAAAATCACTAACAGCTCAATCGAAGAACTAATAATCATCCTTAAAAAAGGCACAAGTTAAGTGTAACACAATTGTCCAGCTGCCAATATCCATTGCTGTGCAGTAGATACTTCCAAGATAATCTATCTAACCTTGTGTATAGATTTCTAGTTGTTTCAACATTTTATATTAATAGGAATTCCTGATTGTGTAGCTTTTAGGGTCTTCAGGATTCTCTTGCAGTGTAAGCAAGCTGCTTTAAATAGCGCTCGTCGTAAAGGAAAATTTAGGGACTTATTTCATCAGTCTTTATCTTAGCATGCTAGGATAGGAGAAGCTATCCTAGCCTCATTTTATTTGCTTAAGATTTAGTGGTGTTATGATTATTTCAAATGGGTTGTGAGAGCTTGGACAGTTTTCTTGTGCCAGTGACTAAGATTTGACTTGTTCTTATGCTTATTTATCTTAGTTCAGAAGTTATAAAATTTCAACATTTATTATTCCCTAATGCTACTGAAGTGAATGCTTTTGGGAGAGAATTACTGGGAGACTGCATTTTTTTATCTGGTTCTTGATAAAGTGAAGCTTGTTGTTCCGCTCACTTGCTTTGCAGGGTAACAAGCAAATTCCTGAGCCTCGTGCTTTGAAGTTACTTGGTTCTTTTGAAGCCTCTGTAGTTGGTATGAGCCACATTTATCGTTATTTAGCTGATTCAAATGGAGCACAATTGAAGAAACTAGCTTCCTATCTTGGAAAATGTGATGAGGACATGCATGGGATGTCAGAGGTTGTTTTGAGAAGAGATACAAATATACCTGCTGATAGGAATGCTGTGAGTGTCCTTATTCCTAATCCTGAAGACTTTCCTGCGGGAGGTATTCACCCAGTCTTGAATGCATTACACACTTCATAAATTTTGGTCTAGACGAAAATTTCATGAAGCTGATTTATTGTAAGGTGATAGACTAACTTTCTAGAAGTAGACAAATGGGGAAGCTTGAAGTATAAACTTATGTTCATCTATTGACTCTGAAGAAAAATCCCATAGTTACGCCAATGACAGTCAATTTTCAGTGACTTGTTTTGCAAATATACGAATGGGATATGTCAAGTACTGAGTTGAATAAGTCTAGCTATATAGGGAACTTACTTCTATCGATCCTTTTTATCAGAAGATAATCAATGTGGCAGATTAAGTATCATGATATTTTGTAATAGTAAGTAATTTAGGCTATATAACCAAACGTGATTTTAGTCGAAGAGACCATGCAATGTCCAGAAGCATTTTACGATTTTTAGGCTGCAAAAGCACACTAGGGTGTTTTTACATGAGCTGTATGAAGGTTCTGATTTGCAAGCATAAACAATGAAAATGCATAGAAAAGCTTGAAGGGAATTGTAATTTTCCTTTTCTTGCCTAGTGTCATTGCATGGAATATGTTGACATGGGCACATTGACAAAACATAGTCATAAATTACTTTTATTAGACACGATTATTTAAGGTTCTCATGCTTCCAAATCACTTTTTTTCTTTCTTCTTTCTCTAGATTTCGTTCAGCTTGGATTCCTTCCAAGGCATATTGCAAAATGGGTGGCTCCGCTGTCAGACATAGGTCTTTTCATGTTTTCTGCATATATTTATCCTAAAGAAGTCCTTGCAACTGCTTTCGAAGGAAGCAACAAGAAAGTAACATTGATGCTTTATGTGTATTTGGTATGTTTTTGAAGTCAGAATCTAATTTTGTCTTTTTAATAATGCGAATCTTATTTATGGCTATGCTGAATTCTTGGTTGGTGGTAATCATATGTGATAGCTTTGATGATATCTTGTGCAGGGGCCTTCGCCTTTTGACATTTCTGAAGTCACACAACTTGAGCGTGTTTCTGGAATATGCTCTTTAGTTGCGTCAATTCAGAGGTGTGCTGGCCTCTGGCGACTTAATGAGGTAATGCTGCTGAATGGGCAGGGTTAATTTTTAGGCATTGTATACTTCGATTATTTGATGTTATTGGTTTCATGTTCATCTCATTGGGTACATTTTGGACTAACTGTGATGTATCCAAATTGGACTGCCTTGTACTATTAATTTTGATTCTTATTTTAATGTAATGTACGTGGGTGCTTGCTGTTAATTTGTTCTCGGAGTTTTTACTGCATTGCTTTGGTTTTGGAGATTGCATGCATCTTTGACATGGTCTTATCCATGCATGTCTGGATCAGCTTATATTTGATATCAATCTAAAACATGGCTGCGGAAGATTGTCTTTGTTAGGATGGACACGTCCGGTTCAGTTTGGTTCCTAAGAGAATCAATCCTTACCGATAATCAATGGGTATCTTAGAAATGAACCATTGGTTCTAGTCATTATGGAACCGAAACAAATGATTCCAGTTAGTTTGGTTCCATAACCAAAATTCCTAAGTTTTTGATGCAAATTACAGTAAAAGTCATGTTATTTAAAATAGGTTAATTGTGGTGTGTGAAATTGTTCCATGTGGTTGGTGCATTGCACCTTACAGAACTGGTTGGTTATGTTTGTTTCAGTTGGTTTCGGTACTTTTGCTCCCCAGTAATTTTTGCAATGTCTATGCTACAACAGATTGCCTGATTGTGGATTTTATTTCTAATGGTTGTCATGTAAATGACTTGGAAGTGTTTTCTGTTTTGTTAAGCATTGGTTTCTTTAAGCGTGTTTGAAGATTCTCATAACAGCAGGTGCTTGGTGAACAAAACCACCCTATGAAGCATGGGATCGGTAACATTATCCAGAACGACTGAATATTTTTAGAATGTTATTATAGTTGGTTAGAATCGTTGAAGCCAAGCTTGAAGCATGACAAAATATAGTATCATACTTTGATGTAATGGTGATCGATGAACAATGATTTTGACATCATTTATTAGATAGTTGATTTCTTCAATTCTGTTTCTTCCCAGGTTTTGGATCAGTTCAAGTGGCCTGAACATTTAGAATCCGAGTTCTTTTTTGGTGAGTAAATGTGCAGATTAGTGATGATACTGTGTTCCGACAAAATTATTTATTCTCTGTTTTTTATGGTTCTCTTTTAACATGTGTGTATTTTAAAGGTTCGTCCTCAGTTGGATCTGTAAATCCTCAATTTTTAGCTGCATTTTCAGCAGCAGCTGGGAAGAGATCATTGCCATTCTCTGAATCCGAGGAGTCCGATCCAGATGTGAGACAATGCTAGCTTATAGAAATTTGCTCAATGGTTTAACATATTTTACTCTTACTGAGTGGTTTGTGCTTGCTTCTGACAGTGGGGCTGTTGGAGTGCCAGTCAAGAGTTAAAAAATCCCTCTATCAGGATTGTTTTCCCAACTATCAATAGAGTGAAGAACACAAGAACTGGCATTTTGGCATCGAAGCGCCTTTTGTGCTTCTCACAGGTACACAGCTTACTGGTTTCAAGGCATCGTGATGGGATTGCTTCATCTTCTTCGTAATGATGTGCTTTAAATAGATTTTGAGTGTTTAACAGTGTACATTTTCATTATTATTCCAGATCCTCAACTTTATGACAATTTTACTTCGAGTATTATTGAGGAATATTTTGTCTAAGAATTTCTATGCCGTGCACTTGGTTTCTATATAATTGTATAGAATTATCAGATGATAGTTCTCTTTACAGAAAACATGGCAGAAGTTGAAAAATATTGGCATACTCCATGATGCAATTCCTTATCCCAGTGACAGAGTTGGGCTTCCTATGCACGTCAAGGTACTGATTTCCTTTCATATTCTTATGATATATGGTCATGAACTTGGTTCCACTCTTGACAGCTCGATGCATATGTTTCAAATTTTCTAGTCGTTCTTTTTGCACTTTTGGTAACCAAATAGGCTTTGCTTTCTGTAAAGGTCTGATCATATGATTTCTGCTGTTTGATGGTGGTGGTTATGTTTGTTTGATTATTAGGTTCTAAACTATTTATGATCAAATTTTCGTTCCTGTCGCCACATTTAATTGCCATCCTAGTCTTCTTAAACTGAAATCTTGACCGTACGTGTTATCCAAGTTCTCATGATCTCCCCTTATTAAATACATGTGATACGAAAATTGTTCATTATTTCATTTGTTTATCCACATTTTTCTTTTTGTCATGCCCAGTCATCCCGATTCCCAATATCTGAATGATGAAAAGGCCTCTTTTCATTTGTTTTGGGACATTTTTTACGTCGTTAGTTCTCTTTACAGAAAACATGGCAGAAGTTGAAAAATATTGGCATACTCCATGATGCAATTCCTTATCCCAGTGACAGAGTTGGGCTTCCTATGCACGTCAAGGTACTGATTTCCTTTCATATTCTTATGATATATGGTCATGAACTTGGTTCCACTCTTGACAGCTCGATGCATATGTTTCAAATTTTCTAGTCGTTCTTTTTGCACTTTTGGTAACCAAATAGGCTTTGCTTTCTGTAAAGGTCTGATCATATGATTTCTGCTGTTTGATGGTGGTGGTTATGTTTGTTTGATTATTAGGTTCTAAACTATTTATGATCAAATTTTCGTTCCTGTCGCCACATTTAATTGCCATCCTAGTCTTCTTAAACTGAAATCTTGACCGTACGTGTTATCCAAGTTCTCATGATCTCCCCTTATTAAATACATGTGATACGAAAATTGTTCATTATTTCATTTGTTTATCCACATTTTTCTTTTTGTCATGCCCAGTCATCCCGATTCCCAATATCTGAATGATGAAAAGGCCTCTTTTCATTTGTTTTGGGACATTTTTTACGTCGTGTAGATAATGCATTGGTATGAACAGGTAGGATGCAGACGGTTCAGGTCTAGGACAGATGCGTCCTCCTTTGGATGGGTTTATTGTGGATCACACAACTTCAGTGCAGCCGCCTGGGGAAGGCCGATCTCCAATTCACTAGATGGACAAGCCAATGGAACTTCAAGGAATAATCCCGTATTAGGTTCAAGATTACACATTTCTAATTATGAGCTTGGTATCATTTTTGTTGATCCCCCACCAGGCACAGTAGATTGTGTCAAACAAAAGAGTACAACCTTGGACGATATTGTTTTGCCCTTTGTTGTGCCTCCACCAAAATACAGACCAGGAGATGCTCCCGCAACAGCACAGGCAATGAAGGAAGCACTAGCTGAGCTTATAGAGCAAGAAAGAGAAAAATGTGAAGCTGCTGCAGCTGCGCAGGATTTGACAGAATTGGAAATACCAGAAGAGGAAGACGACGAAATTATGGAGACTGCTCAATATGTCACAATGGAGAAGGAAGATGAAAAAGCTTATGCTGATAAATTATGGAGCCAAGTTGATTCTTCTGAGAGCAGTTGAAATCTTATATGTTTGGCATGAAGGATTAATCGAACTTGATAGTATTAATGGAAAAAGTTAAAAAAAGAAAAAAAAGGATATTCTTTTCTTTTCTTTTTCCCCTATTGTGTAGGAATTATTTTCTGCACAAATACCACCAAAATTCATTCCTTTGGTGTCTTGGTGTCAACTATTCTTTAGGTTTCGTGCTTAGACACACTTCTTCAATTAATTACACGTGTAATTTATGTTTAGTCATTTATTGATTCCTATTTAATTTTTTTCTAGTTGTAACTATTGGGAAATTTAGATAACAGATATTATTTTTCTTGCACTTATATATGTCATTCTGCAGTCGTCCGACTATGTAGCATGAATCCAATGGCGTGCACACATTTAGGAGGTTTTCCTAAATGAGAGGCTGCTTTTATGGAAGAAAAGGAAAACAATGAGATGTTCAAAATTGTGACATGTTTTCACTCATTTTGCTCTGATTCCACAGGAAAACACGTCCAAATTCTGATTCAACTAGAATATATAACTACTCTGCAATCTTTCATATTATTGTTGACACATAAAAATTCAGCCCAAATCAAGCGGCCCAAGAAGTGAAGCCAAATTGGAGGATCCCCAAATCAGAAAGCCCAAAGAACGAAGTCCAATCAAACAAATCAAGGTGAAGGCCCGAATAAGGAGGCCCAAGAACGCGGTAGCGCCATCGTCCAAGTTTGCAAGTCGCCCAGAATCTGAGCGAATGGAGTGTCATACAGTCGCCCAGAGCTGTTACTCTATTCTCGCCCAAACCTTCAAGTCGCCCAAGGTCTTAACAAACATAAAGCGTTATGGTTATCAAGAAGTGCAGTTATCAAAGCAGTTATTAAAGCAACCCTATCACGTTCCACAATTCGAGGAATTCAATCGAAAGTGGTTGAACGATGAAAAGTAATGACAGCAGTTAAAAAAGGAAGTTGTCATGACAAGTTGGCCATTACGAAGAAAGTGGGCAGTTATAGGACGATCAAGCAGTTTTTAGAGCGGTTGATCACAAAGAGATCGTCCATGAAGTATAAAAGGGAGAAAGGACTTAGAAGAACAAACCGAATCCAAAACTCTCGAACAGAGAACATGTAATTTTCATTTCCTTAGTTTTTAGATTTAAACACTTTTCTCTCAGTAACTCGTGTGCTTGCGCCCCTTGGAGGCACGTTGTTTTTCATTCCCAATTTTAAATTCATCGCCAATAAAAGAACACCCCTTTTTGGGACTTTGTCTCAAGAAATTTCGTCCCTTACACAATCGTCTGATCCTTCTTAATTGTTAGCGACTAACCCGTGCGAAACAATTATTAACACTATAAACAGTGTTTTCTCTTTGCAATTCTTGAAATTTGATATAAAAGTGATACGAGCTGTGAAATTCTATTATTTCATTCTTGGGGAAGCTCAGCGGCAGTATCCTAAAAATAGTCGAATCTCCTCTGTAAGTTGACCTGGAGAATGAGTCTTTTCTTATTGGTCACCCCCAAGGGACAAATCCTGGATAGAAATGTGTAATTTGAGGCTTGTTTGATGTTAGACATGGGCGGATTTAGAGGTGGGCTGCACTTGGCTGCAGCCCACTGTTGACCAGGCCCAGATAGTTAAAAAAAAAAAAAATTTGTGTGAATTGTAGTCCAATAGCCCATATGTAACCACATTAGCCCACGTGAACTTTATCTATTTAATCTATTTTCATTATAATGGTTGTCTAACAGGGCACAATATCCAAGTCCAATATCATCCCTCTGGTCTAACCCATTCCCAAATCCAAACTTGAAACCATCTGCGACTTGGATTCTCTCTCTAGTCTCTGAGTCTCTCGCCTCGAGCTCTCGACGCCTTCTATCAGTGATTCAACAGAAGAAGAAGGTGAAGAAGCCAGAAGATCTCTCGTTTCTCGGCCTCTTTCTCAAGGTCTCTCGCCTTCACTGCCTTCAGTTACTTTGAAGGGCAAGTACGGAGTATTCTTTTCTTTTTATTTGTTATTTTGATTTGTTTAATGTTTGAATATTGTGATTTTGCTTTTAATCGAGTGCGTGCCAGATGCTTGTTATTATGTGCGTTTGAGTAATTGGAATGTATTATGTAATAATGCTGCTTTCTATTAACTTGTTAGTGCAGACTTGCAGTTGAGGGTAGATAGAATTGAGAGTAGATTTTGCTTAATTTTACTTGATAGGTTCATTTGGGCTTAACTTGATTTTGCTTCCACTAACTTGATTTGGACCCTCTGTTAATAATGGGAGAAAGTTTTGTATGGAGGCTGCTTTCTGATTTCATTTGTTTTGTTGGAATCTCTGGATCTAACTAAATAACAGTTCTCTCCCATACGACCCTCATCAGTTCCTCAGAGTAAACAATTTTGAAATGCTTGCCAGTGCCCATCATCATTTTATTTTCTAAAATCAGAGACTTCTTCATTTAAATTGGATTCATCCTTTGATTTCAAACGGCTTCCTTTTCTAGTAGAATGTCTCAAAATCGTCTTTTGCATTACATCTTGACCATCAGCCTCAAGCTCTTCATTAAATCTATGGCCAAAAACTCAAAGTTCGGTGCTGATTAAATTCTGTCCACACCTAACAATATTCCTGGCTTTGCCCATGTAGAGCTTCTAGCTCTATCTTTTCTTTCTTTTTTTTTTCCCTTCCAATTTTATGTTTGAGATTTTCGCCCATCTTTGTCCCTCAAATCAATTTTCAGATTCTGTTACTGTTGTATGGAGAAGTATCTTGCCTTTCCATTAGCTATGAAGACAGCTTCAAAAGAATCAGTAGTCCAATAATGGTTACGATCGGAATGGTTTCCCATTAATGTACGACATTATTACTTATTTAACAAAGTTTTGTTTTACATGAAGTTTATAATTTCTCTATTTGTGGGATTTTTTTTTTTATTTATCTTGCTGAGTGTTAATTCTGAAGAGTAAAAGACTGAACTAAAAACATGGCAATTCTGAGTATGTTACAACAATAGGATAAAGTTCAAAGTGTTGTACATATAAATTTCTTGCTTACTCATCTTAGAATTTACTTATGTAGTTCACTAATTTAACCCAAACCCCCTATTTCTTTGAAAAATTACTTATTTTTTATTTATATGACATTCTTAAAAGTAAAACTATTGTTTATTTTTGTATAATACTGGGTGAAGCACTGGAGCATTTTCATAGGCATTATGATACTATTTTCATAGTTTTTTTTGGATTTTTTTGTTTAATTGTAGGTGATGCTTTTGATTTTTTGAAGTATTGTGCTATTTGCTAAGAAAAGGGTCCAAAGGCTAAAAGGGTTAAGGAGGTTCAACTTTTCAAGGTTGGTTCTCATTTCTCAATCTCTGACTTTGGATGAAAAATCTCATTTCATAGGTTATAGCAAATAGTAAATTGGTTTTATATGGTTATGATTTTATCAATTTAAGTTTATGCCTTTATGTGATATTGAAGTATCTTGTTTTTTATGCTTTTAGATTTAATATGGAAGAAGATCGACCTTCTAACAAGAAAGGAAGAACCTTGTTGTCTTTTTTTTCAAAAAGTAATAAATCTCAAGATTCTCCAATTCCTACGGCGCCCATTCCTCCAATTTCATCCCCAGAAGTTGTACGGCCTTCGTCTTCCAATCTTAATGTAGAACCATCTGATTCTATTGAACGGGACCCTGGAAAAAGAAAACAAATATGTGAACATCCACATAACGAACGCGATCAGATTAGACGAGCTTATCTAAATGTTGGACCTTATCAACCAAAACTTTTAGAGTATCAGAACAAAGAATGTGGAAAGCAGAAACGTCGATTTCAGGAACGTTGGTACAATCAGTTTCCTTGGTTGGAATATTCGCCTTCAACACATAAGGCATATTGTTTTTATTGTTTCCTCTTTCTCAATGAGAGTACTCCACCTAATATTTCATCGTTGGTCATTGTTGGGTTTGATAGTTGGAAGAGGGTTAACCAAGGAAGTAAATGTGCATTTCTTATTCATGTTGGTACAACATATTCGTCGTTTCATAATGGCTGTAAGAGAAGTGCTGAAGATCTAATGAAACCAACTCAACATATTGACAAGGTAATGCATTCTTTATCAAATGAGGAAATTCAGAAAAATCGTTTGCGTCTAAAGACCACCATTATGAGTGTTAAGTGGTTAGCACTTCAAAGTTGTTCCTTTAGAGACCATGATGAATCTCCATCTTCACTGAATCGTGGGAATTTCATTGAACTGGTGGATGCATTTAGAAAAATGAATATTGAAGTAGGAAAAGTTGTATTGGGTAATACTCCCAAAAATGCTACATACACATCTCCAGACATTCAAAAAGAAATTTTGAACATTAAGGCCAACAAAGTCCGACAAAGAATTCGTGGCGAAATTGGGGATGCAAAATTTAGTATTCTTGTTGATGAAGCACGAGATGAATCTTTACAAGAACAAATAGCCATTATCCTGAGGTTCGTCAGAAGTAATGGAATTTTAACAGAGCGTTTTTTTTTTTGCAATTAAAAGTGTTAGTGACACTACCTCATTAAATCTTAAGAATCAAATTTCTGATGTTCTTGTCCGTTTCGACCTTCAAGTGCAAAATATGAGAGGCCAAGGGTATGATGGTGCTAATAATATGCGTGGTTCTTGGAATGGACTACAAGCATTATTTCTTAAAGATTGTCCATATGCATACTATGTCCATTGTTTTGCCCACCTTTACAACTCACATTGATTTCTGCAGCTAGGGATGTATCAGATATTAATTCATTTTTTTCTCATTTGGATAGTGTTATTAATATGATTACATCATCTCCTAAGCGCATCAATGGGTTGAAAAGTGCACAAAGAAAAGAAATTGAGCATTTGTTGGAAATTGGAGAACGAGAGTCCGGAAGTGGTGCTAATCAGATTGGTAATTTGCAACGAGCCGGAGGTACTCGTTGGTCTTCTCATTACAGCTCTGTAAAGAGTTTGATTGCTATGTATGCTGCAACTTGTGAGGTGCTTGAGTATCTTAGTGATCATTCTCCAATGTAAGATCTCGGTCCGAAGTTGGTGGTGTGTACAAAACCATGACAACATTTGAATTTGTATTTATTTTACATTTAATGCGTAAAATATTAGCAATTGCGGATGTGCTTTGTCAGACCCTTCAGAAGAAAACTCAAGACATCTTGACTGCTATGAGATTTGTTCGTACTACAAAAACTATCCTTCAAACATTGAGAGAAGATGGCTGGGAAGAAATTCTTGAAGAGGTGAAATGTTTTTGCTCCAAAAATGATAGACATGTATCTGACTTTGATGCTTCGTATATGGTTGGTCGTTCTCGTGGTCGTGAGTATCCTACCGTTGAACATCACTATCACTTTGATATTTTCAATGCAGCCATTGATTTTCTGATGATAGAGTTAGATACAAGCTTTAATGAGACATCATTAGAACTCCTTTCTCTCAGTGCAGCTTTGGATCCAAAAGATTCTTTTGAATCATTTAACATTGATAATATTTGCAGGCTTGCAGAGAAGTTTTATCCTGAAGATTTTTCACAGCAAGATATTTATTGTTTGAAAATTGAGTTGCAATATTATCAGAATGATGTGATTTCCGAACCTCGATTTCAAGTACCTACACTTTCTGATTTATGTCGAGAATTGGTTGCAAGTAGAAGGTCGGAGAGTTACGTCGTTTTGACTAAATTGATTTGTTTAGTATTCACACTACCTGTTTCAACGGCGACTGTGAAGCGAGCATTTTCAGCAATGAAACATGTGAAGACGGAAATTCGTAACAAAATGGATGATGGCTTTCTCGCTGATTGTTTAACACTAAATATTGAGCGAGAATTTAGTATGAATTTAGATCTAGATTCTATTGTAGATGAATTTTATGCTTTAAAATATCGTCGGGTACAACTACGATAGGTAACTTATATTATGAATTTTTCTTATTATATATAAATTTTATTTGTAGTTCGTACATTAAATTTTTAAAAATTTTTGCCCCCCATACCATGAATTCCTGGCTCCGCCCCTGATGTTAGATCACTAGTTATGATACCGAATAAATAGAACACAAATTGTACAAGGGCAAGTTTAAGATTCCTAATTAACTTGTTCGAATTTAATTTGTTGGTAAAAATATTGGTTTAACTTCATCAGTTCACTAGTCACCTCGCTGGCTGTTAGTTTTTGTCATGTATATGTTCAAACAGAAATAGTAATGTAAGTTAGGTGATCAAACTGAAACGAATTGAAGTTAGAACACCAGCACGAAAACAAACCGATTATTTGAGTGACTGCTGATGAAATTGCCAACAAATTTATACCTCTAATAGAGATTTAAATTACAAAAAACGCCATAAATGGTACATATTTTCATAATTTTAGGAGAAGTCGACTCATCTTTCTCTAGCCGACATCGACTTTATCTAGAAAATAAGTTAATGTAACAATTATTCTTTAACATATTTTTATAATCCCGAAGACACATTGTCACTCTCAAATTAGTTTAATAAAGTGCAAAAAGCAAACAATCATGCACTAAATTTGAAGATTAGGGACAAGTTAGGTGAGGACAAATTTTTATTTTTATTTTTATTTTTTTGAACTGGGTTAATGCATAAAATAATAATAATAATAATAATAATAATAATAATAATAATAATAATAATAATAATAATAATAATATCCCATAAAAAAATTGTATATGAAAAATTAAAAATATTCTCGAGGTAGTTCTAAACCTCCCTTTATCCAACCCTTTGTAAGATATGTCAAATTTTATTATTCTTTGTCATTTCTACGACATTCTTTTGAGCGTTTGAGTACAAGAATAATAAAACCTTGGATAATTCTGCAAGTACAGAATTATCCTCCCAGAGAAAACAAATAGGGTAATCACATGGGGTGGGGTCCATCTGAGTTTTATATTGAAAAAAATCACACCACCCACCCCATGTATGTGTGTATGTTTTGAATTTCTGTACATATTCTGTTCTGCCTTTTCTGTACCCATAGCAAAGTCCTAAAACCTTTGAGCAAGGACGAATATTCCTTTTTGAACTCGTTGATATAAATTGTAGATTCAATGCATTTTGATGGAACTTTTTGAAATTTATATAGTAAGGAATGAACCAATAACATACATTGTCAAATTCAACTCGTAGTCGCATTTCACCTTTTCTCCATGACTAAGTAACATGATGAAGAATGATTGCGAATTTGATTACATGTTATGGTCGACAAGGCTCGACTGTAGACCTTTTTTTCTTTAATAAAATAATAATGTTGTCCTTATACAAAACACGTTTAAAACGATAATTTGATTTGAACTATTCAACTTTTAGGTCCATAGACAGTGTGCATTCGAATCATGCAATTATTGTTGTCTCTTTTCTTACAAAACAATATATCTCCCAATTAGGATTAATTATACTATTTTAAATTTTATACTACCTGCGTTGTCCTGTGCAATGTAAATAATACTTGTCGTCAGGATCTAAAGTGAAAAAGGAATTTTAATAGAAGATAAATAATTGAAAATAAACTTTAATATAAGAATGATGTTATTCATAGCGTCATGGCATACACATGGCAATAAAAAAAAATTATAATATCGACAGTATATGTTATCACATAGGATGATGATTATCGATCAGTTTCACTATAAATAGCATTACTTTTTAATTGGATCTCGAAACTTGTCAAATGTGTATTGTAATAGTGCATACAGGGGCAGAGCCCAGGTCCTAGAGCACAATACTCTCTCTCTCTCTCTCTCTCTCTCTCTGGAATTTTATGCATGGCAGAGCCAAGGAATTTTTATGTTGAAAACCCCTTTTTGTGTTTACTTCACTATTTTATTTTATTTTTATTTACAATTAACTCAAAGTTGATTACTTTCATGTTTTTCAACAATTTATGAACAAAATATATAACTTTATTATTTCCTTCAAATGTCGCTCTCTTCTCAGTTATCGCTACGTCGTGATGTTATCGATTGTGTTAGGCCTTCAAACAAAAAGTCTCGACGTCGTCAAGTATATAATAATGTACATTTTGCATAATGTGTCATAATTAGAATAATTTGCACTCAAATGTGTAACATTTTTAATGTTTCAACTTTAATATTAAGATACGCTTATATTTTTAACAAAACTCAAGCAAATAATTCTAATTATTTTTCAAATAGATAAATAAATCATTCTTATAATTTTTTTATTTTTTATCTTTTTGTGCACCACTTTTCAATTGCACTTAAGATCTTTAACATTTACTCATTGTCACACTTATGTTCTTGTATTTTTTTCTCATTCTCATTCTAATATTTTATTAATTAGCGAATCTGGTCTCTGACATAATATTTTCTATCATTGCATTTATGTCCTCATATATCTAACTATTATGCCAATGTGCCAATGTGCTTTGAACTTTTTGGATGAAAATTGTTATCAATGACAATATGTGCTAACTTATGGAAGGTTGAGAGTAAGAATATGACAAAAAAAAAGTTGATGATATAAATTTTAAAATGGGAAAAGGCAGGTTGGACCTTTTGTGCAATTAAAAAGAGGTATATCATAATTTTTGTTTTTATATCCATATAACCACCCATGTTGAAATTACAAACATGGCTCTTTTTTGAACAATTTTACCTTATTCAATTAGACATAATGCGAATATCGCGTTGTCATTTAACATCTAAATAAACATTTTCCTTCAAATGGGGATATTGTGCTCATAATGTCCAAAAGTTGAGGATATGGTTGTCAGGAGTGGAAGGTTGGGAACCTCGAAAGAAATTTAACCTATAAAGGTTTAGTCATGACTTATTTTTCTTAATTTTATTTACACAGCGTTCTTACACTAACTTGAGATTGAGAGAGTTTCTTACAAATAGCTTCTCGGTGCAAGGGATATGTACCTTTTCGGAATGTATTTGATTATTTTGGCTCAGTCGCCACTTTGCACCCATTTATTACTGATTTATAAATTCAATCAAAGTCAACTTAATTTCAACCATTCATTCATAACTAATGCTTATTTCTTATCTACACATTTTGAGATAATCACAATTATTCATTTTACTATTCCTTTTATAAATAATTTATAGATATTCCAAATGTTGACTTACATTTGAGTAGGTCGTAAGTATTTGCATTCGAATCTAGCTAAATTCTTACTAAATTTGGTGAAAAGATCATGTGTTAGCTAGAATGACCTACTACAGAAATATTTTAGAAGTTTCTTCTTATTGGTGATTCAAGAATGAAATATTAAGTTAAACTTAATTCATAAACAAATAATTATTAGATATAAGAAATTTTTATATGATTGAACACAGCATAAAACATATTATTTTGCGAAAAATTAAATTTTTAGAAAATTTCGATAAAAGTTGACGAAATAGCATCTCAAGAAATATTTGACTAAATTAATTGTTAATTGTTAATTTTATTTTTTTAAATTAAACTAAGCCCCCGTTTGAGTCCCATTATTTGTAGATTATAATGAAATGAATAGTATTTTTTTTGAAAAATTAGTGGTTGAAAAGTTTTTAATTTATGTGTAATATTATTTTATTCAAGATTGTGTGATTAAAAATAGGAAAGAAAAAAATTTAATTTAATATAATGAAAAATAATGGGGCTCAAACGGGACTAAATAGGAATAAAATATCCTTCCCTATATTAATAATTAACCGACACTGGACAAATCATTTGTACTCACTCACTCCCACGAAAACAGTTTGTAATATGGAGAAATAATTCAAAGACATGGAGCGCCAAAGTCAGAACAAATGTCTCTATAACTTAGAAAAAAAGGCCACCGCATACCGTCACGTGTCGGTGGGAATTCACATTAAAAATCCATGCCTGGCTTCACTCTGTAGCATAACGCTTAAAGTATCCACTTTTAACTCCAAAGCTAGAGACTCTCACAAGACTCTTCTGTGCACACAGAGAGAGAGAGAGAGGAAGGGAGGGACGGAAAGTTTTGCATGCAGAAATTGCATTCTGGGATAAAGGGTCGGAG